TTGTTTTGTTTTGTTTTGCTTTGTTTCTTCCAGACAGGGTTTCTCTGTAGCTTTGGAGCCTGTCATGGACGGGTCACTGACTCTATAGCCCAGGCTGGCCTCAAACTCACAGAGATCTGCCTGCCTCTGCCTCCCAAGTGCTAGGATTAAAACTGTGAGCCTCCACTGCCTGGCTACCACCAATGTATTTTTTTAAGATTTATTTATTTATTATGTATACAACATTCTGCCTCCATGTAATCAAGCATGCCAGAAGAGGGCATCAAATCTCATTATAGATGGTTGTGAGCCACCATGTGATTGCTGGGAATTCAACTCAGGACCTCTGGAAGAGCAGCCAGTGCTCTTAACCTCTGAGCCATCTCTCCAGCCCCCCACCAATGTATTTTTAAAGTTCCTTGATTCATAACTTTCTTTGTTCTGTTATTATAATGTTAGACCCCCGAAAACCTCAAGTAACCGGGGTCTCAGGCCAGGTTCGCGGTCACCCCAATCACCAGGCGGATTCGAGAGCTTGCTGCAAACTGCACGAGGCTTTATTGTAATTTAACGAGCTAACCCCATGTTAGCTCGGGTCTTTCACCCACCCGCCATGGCAGACGGCTAGAAAAGACGGCTCCTACGGGCTCCCAAAAGATCTTATAGGGCAGCATAAGGGGAGTATCTAGGGGCACGCACAGGCTCACCATTGGTGTGCTTCCGGGTCTTTCACCCACCCGCCATGGCAGACGGCTAGAAAAGAGTTATGGCTCATAGGCCCTCCCAGGGTGGTTGCTATGATCTCTATGTCATTGCTGTGTGCTAGACCGTAAAGCACACCCAGGGTCAGCAAGCATAGCGCCATCAGCTAACTTCTGATTGGTTCCTTGTCACAAGACAGGCATCTGACCTTTTAGTGACTAAGGTTCCTTGTCACGAGACAGGCATCTGACCTCTAAGTGACCAAGGCAGGTTTATGGCAAGCACGTGTTTGGCTGTTATGGCTGCGAAAGGGAAGCCGGTTCCTTCAATTAAAAACTTCCTGTGATAGATATGGTTTTAGTTGGGGTGGGCAGTAGGGGAGGATGGGTGGGAGAAGGGAACTGGAATTGTCTTGTAAAACAATCCTGTTTCTAATTCAAATAAAAAAAGTTGGAAAAACAAAAACAAAACTTCCTCACTGCTTCCATGCTGAAACATGGGATTTAGGGTCACCTAAGTCTGTGTTTCCAGGCCATGATCATTCATATTTGGTTCAAGAATAAATTATCTCTCACTTTCAACACCCAAGAACTAGAATCTTACCCTGTAGTCTAGGCTAGCCTAGACCTCACTTTGTAGCCCAGGTTGGCCTGGAACTCACAACAATCCACTCAAACTCCTGAGTGCTGGTGAAACTGGCCTACCTCTGGACTCTCCCTTTGGTTATCAGATTCCTGAAACAAAGGATCTTAAGATATTAGACTCCTCATAAGGGTTTCCTCTCAGGAGAAAAGGCTGAAGCCACAGGAAGACTTATCTCCACGAAAATGATTTATGGTGTGTCAGCTGAAGGAGAGGAAAGACTTAGAGCTGAGACAATAATGGAACTGACCACACCCAGGCCAGCCAGCTTCCTTAGGCCTATCTCTTGCCCTGTATTTAAACCCTAATCCTATGTCAGTGTCAGGCACCTGAAGTCGGGACTTGGGAACAGCCTGGAACTCTGTGTCCTTCCCATGTGGCCACATTGACTAAATCTCCTCTTTCTGATTTGCTATCAATCTGGCTCTTTTTAATTATTGAGGATAAGTGGCCAAACCTGGCTTGTTGGGACACAGCCTGTGACGCTGAATCTCTTAACACTGGGATGACAAGCATGTGCCAACATGCCCAGCTGGTGTTCTGTTTGTTTGGATGGGATTTGGGTTGTGCTGTTGTTTCATTGTGTTTTGTTTTGTTTTGTTTTGTTTTTTTCCCAAAATGGTCTTACTAGGTTGCCCTGGCTGTCCTGGAACTCCCACTGTAGACCAGGCTGGCCTTGAATTCACAGAGATCCTCCTGCCTCTGCCTCCAGAGGGCTGGGATTAAAGGCACGGGCCACTGTGCCCACCCTGAAATTTTTGTTTTTTGTTTTTGTTTCCTAGGCTAGAGTTCCACCACTGAAGTACATTCCCAGCACTTTGTTTTTTGTTGTTGTTGTTTTTTAATTCCACAGGGTCTTGTTTTTTTTTTTTTTTAATACCACAGGGTCTTGTTAAACTGCCCAGTCTGGCCGGGCGTTGGTGGCACACGCCTTTAATCCCAGCACTCCGGAGGCAGAGGCAGGCAGATTTCTGTGAGTTCGAGGCCAGCCTGGTCTCCAGAGCGAGTGCCAGGATAGGCTCCAAAGCTACACAGAGAAACCCTGTCTCGAAAAACCAAAAATAAATAAATAAATAAATAAATAAAATGAAATAAAAAACAAATAAATAAATTGCCCAACCTGGCCTTGAACTCTTGGTCATCCTGCCTTGAACTCCCAAATCACTTGTGTTACTCGTGTATGATAACAGGCACACCCAACTCTTCAGTGTTGGCTTGAATTACTATAGTCTTGAACTTCTTCCTATGCCCACTGGAAATCCAAACTGAGCTGTCCCAGGGCTCTGCGTGTCAAAAGAGCTCTGGGGTTCTTCCTTGAGCAGCATGATGGAGGGCAAGGAAGGTCAACCCTAACTGATGGTGCTTCACCCATCCTTGATGATGGAACCTTCTAGATAGCAGTGTAAACAGTGCATCTCTGATACCAGTGCAATGTAGCAATGTATTTTTATTGTTTTGTTTTTTTGTTTTTCCGGATGGGGTGCTAGCATGCACCACCACCCAGGCCTTAACTCATTCTCTCTCTCTCTCCCTCTCTCTCCCTCTCTCTCTCTCTTTCTCTCTCTCTCTCTCTCTCTCTCTCTCTCTCTCTCTCACTCTCTCTCTCTCTCTCTCTCTCTGTGTGTGTGTGTGTGTGTGTGTGTGTGTGATGCATGTATCTTTTTAATTTTCAAGACAGTTTCTCTGTATAGTCCTGGCTATCCTAGAACTCCCTCTGTAGACCAGATTGGCCTTCAACTCACTGAAATCCTCCTGTCTCGGACTCCCAATTGCTGGGATTAAAGGTGTGTGCTGCTAGCACCCAGTTAACAGAAGGAAAGTTTCCAGAGAGCAATTGTATCTTCAATTGAACCGTCTGCAGCACTGATTGACTGATTAGAGCTTCCAAGTTTGCAGGCAGGTTGGGAGGAGGCAGTTCTGGAGCCTAATTAAGACTACTTCTGACTGTTCAGACTCCCTAAATAGCCATTCTCTGCCCACCTGTGTGTCTCACCTAACATCCTCTGAATAACAGATAAAACCTTTGGGATACATTAACTTGACAACCTTTAATATTCACCAACTAAAAGGCCAGATGTCATCAGATACCATCTGAGGCATAAAGCCAGTATTTCTCTCCTAAGTTATAAAGTCTATTTAATGTTCCCAGTGTGTTTGAAAGGAGCCTTGACTTCTGGGTGGCAGCACATGCCTTTAATCCCAGCACTTGGGAAGCAGAAACAGACAGATCTCTGTGAGTTCAAGGCCAATCTGGTCTACAGAGGGATTTTCAGGACAGCCAGGGATACACAAAGAAAGCCTGTCTAGGAAAAAAAAAAAAAAAAAGCAAAGTTTTACTACAAAAACTTAAACTACTACGATGCTGGTGCATGGGATTTGGAGTAACCTAAATGTGTGTTTCTGAGCCACAGTCATTCAGATTGGGCTACAGAATGAACTATCTCTTATCCCCTTTGAGGTAAAAGCCATGTTTTGCGTCAACACTTTCTGGTTTAGAAGCCCTCTTCCATCACCCTCTACTGATCCGCTGAGGAAGCTACACAGCAAATGCAGCTGCTTGGTGCCAAGGTTTGAGTTTGGCTTCAAATGTCCTGTTTCAAATTCCCGGTGCTAGACTTGTGGCCATGAAAAGCCTTTGTGAACTCTGGCAGCCATTTTTACCCGGGGGAGAGTGGAGCATGGCCCTGGATTGCCCAGCAGGCCACGGGGTTAGTGAAAGGTTCAGGCATTATGCTGGCCTGCCCCTGTTACCTGGTGGAATCCACTCAGGCAATACCCTGGTCAGCCCAAGGTTCCATGGGAAAGAAGTCTGCACGCAGGTGCAGAGGACCCCTTTAAAAGATAGGCCCCTGCACCTTTACGTTCTCTCTGCCCCTTTACTCTCTCTCTCCCTCTCTCTCTCTCTCTCTCTCTCTCTGTGTGCTCTCCCGTATCTGTTTCCCCGCTCTGTCTCTCTATGGCGACCAGCCATGGCGGTCAGCCATTACCCTGTTCCTCTTCTTAGTCTCCCCACTCTGCCGCGCCTTATAATAAACTTATAGTCAATATGTCTGTCTCAGCAATTTCTCTTTTCTTCTTTTTAAACAAAACAATAACAGTTAGTGCACAAAGAACTGTTGACAATGGCACAGACCCAACTGCCACATCGTCTCTCTGGGTCTAAAAAGAGGTGCTTCTTTACACAATTATTGGTTTTGTTTCCAATTTATTTATGTGTGTGGGTGTTTTGCTGGAATGTATGATCTATCTCTCCAGCCACCCCAAGTTTTGGGGTTTTTGTTTTGTTCTTTTTTTGAGACCGTTTCTCTGTGTAGCCCTGGATATCCTGGAACTCACTGTAGACCAAGCTGGTCTCAAACTCAGAGATGCACCTACCTCTGCCTCCCGAGGCTGGGATTAAAGGTGTGTGCTACCACACCCAGTTCTTTCCCCCTCCCTTTTACCTCCTTCACTCTCCACCTATCTTCGTCATAACTCTCTTCAAACACGTCATGAACCAGGTGTGACAGTGTACACTTGTAATCCCAGCACTTGGGAGGTGAGGCAGGAGGATTTTGTGAGCTCATAGCCATTTTGGTCTACATAGTGAAACCCAATCTCAGAAACAAAAAGGCCAGAAAGATAAAATCATGACACAGAAGACTGTTTTTGTTTTGTTTCCACCACTTAAAAGCAACCTTGGGAAGAAAGGGTTTATTATTTGGCTTACTCATCCCAATCATAATCTACCACTGAAAAAAGATGAGGTGGATACTCAAAGTAGGAGCCTGGAGGCAGCAACTGAAGCAGAGACCATGAAGGACCACTGCTTATTGGCTCGTTCTTCATGTCTTGCTCACCCTGCTTCCTTACATAACTCAGGACTACCTGCTCAGGGGTGGTACTGCTCCCACTGGGCTAGGCACTCCCACATTGCTTCCCAAGTCAGCTATTAATCAAGAAAATGTATCACAGACTTTCCCACAAGGCCAATATGATGGAGGCAATTCCTCAGCTGGATTCTTTCTTCCCAGATACAGCAAGGTTTTTTGATTTGTTTTGTTTTGCTTTTTTGGTTTTTCGAGACAGGGTTTCTCTGTGGCTTTGGAGGCTGTCCTGGAACTAGCTCTTGTAGACCAGGCTGGTCTCAAACTCACAGAGATCCATCTGCCTCTGCCTCCCGAGTGCTGGGATTAAAGGCGTGCGCCACCAATGCCTAGCTTATACAGCAAGGTTTACCTCAACAAAAACCAGTTACCCCAATACATTTGTTCATACTATGTGCATATGTGTGCGTGTGCACATGGGCGTCAGAGGACATCTTTCAGGAGTTAGTTCTCTCCTTCCACTATTGAGTCCTGGAGATAGCACTCAGGGCCTCAGGCTTAGTAGCAAGCACTGTTACTCCCTAAGTCATCATGCTGGTCCCATTTTCATCAATTTCATGACCCTCAAATACATATTTCATCTCTTAAGAAACCCAGAGGTGCTTCAGGGTGCTGTTCATATCCACAATGCATCTTAGATGCCAGCCACTCTCAGGAAAGTACTCCCAGAAAGGCAGGGCAGACTCACTGCTCACTGCCCTTCCCTCCCCGGTACTGTGTGGCTAAGAGGTATACCTCTGAAGACTCCTTCCTGCTGGCTTCCGGTTTCACGACCCTAGTGTTCTGGAATTCCTGGGTCAGTCTCTTCTGTAGCAGGTGGCTTTTTCTTCCGGCCCAGGTTTTACACAGCAGTGTCCCCCCAGGATGCAGGATGTCCACAGCCATGTCCACAAGGGTAAGGCACAAGCTGATAAGCCTGTCGTGATCGAGGTCTCGGATCCCAGTGGCGTTGGGCGCCATGTCACTCAGAATCACATCCGCTTTCCTTCTGGGAAGCAGGTCTAAGATTCTCTGGCGAGTTCCAGGATCAGTCACATCAGCAGGACACAGAAAAGTTGCTCCTTCCAGAGGGAATATGTGAAGAAGATCGACCCCAAGCACATAGCCCACAGGAGAGCTGCAGTCTACGGAAGCAACAGAATGCATTCTTACACCATGAATCTCCCTACCAAAACACAAGCTACAAAATAAAGTAAGGCACCAAGACCAAGAAAACCAGCTAACATGCATAGATATGCACAACAGGCCTTTTATATGAAGACACATAAGGTAGATGCAGCACAGGCCTATAATCCCAGCACTTGGAAGCTTGAAACAGAAGGATCACTACAAGTTCAAGGACAAGTTGGGCTACCAAGTGAGATCCTGTCTCTCAAAGCGGAAAAAAATAAAAGACACATTGTGCTTTGTAGGGTGTCCTCCCCTCCTCTTGGAAGAGCTGCAGAAGCTGAGACTTGCAAGAAAATGGTATCCTGATAGTCCTGAGTGACAAGTGGAGGTAGGACCACAGGCAAGGTACTCAATCCCCTTTGCTGTGGGTTCACTAACCCAAGCCCCTCTTCTCTAGAATTCTTCTTCCAACTATCTTTTTATTTTTGTCTGTTCTGGGAATTGGGAATCTCACTAGGTATCCCAGGCTGACCCAAAACTTTTAAGTTCCTCTGTCATATAACACATTGAGTGCCTGGGGTTACAGGTGGGCACCACCACACCCAGTTCCCAATATTCCTTTGTTTTCTTTTTGTTTGCTTGCTTTTTATTCCTTGAGATAGCCTCACTGTGTAGACCAGACTGGCCTCAATCTCAGAGAACTGCTGTCTCTGCCTCCAGAGTGTTAGCATCAAAGGCATGTGTGACCAGGCTCAGCTGTTTTGTTTTGGTTTTTAAATTTATCATTTATTTACATGTGTGTGCTTGCATGTATGAATGTGCACTCAAGTGCAGGTGCCTGCAGAGTCCAAGGTCTGGAACTGAAGATGAGGTTGTGAGCTGGGAACCAAACTCCAGTTCTCTGCAAAAGCAATGCTCTCTCCAGCCCTTCCTTTCTGGCTTTTGGTTATTTGAGAACTGTGTCCTGCCTCCACCTCCAGAGTGCCACAGGTGTGGCCACCACAGCCAACACAATGTTACAAAGGTGGATGTTTTCTTTCCTATTTCAGCAGAATTTCACATAGAGAATATTAAGTTCCTATAAAATAACACACTACAGCCTATCACAGTCCCAGAATGTGGAGTCCAAAGCCCCAGGCAGCCTGTTCCTGAGGTCCTGGAGGTGGCAGTCCCAATGGCACCTCTGCAAACTCTCAGGCTTTGAAGGCACAATTTGGAAACCTCAGGGTCACATTAACTGTCTGGCCCCAAACCCTGTTGTCTTAGGGTTTCTATTGCAATGATGAAACACGATAAGCAAAAACCAAGCTGGCTTACACTTCCGTATCACTGTCCATCATTGAAAGAAGCCAGAACAGGAACTCAAACAGGACAGTAACCTGGAGGCAGGAACTGATGCAGAAGCCATCAAGGAATGCTGCTTCCTGGTTTGTCCCCCATAGCTTGCTCAGTCTGCTTTCTTATAGAACTCAGAACCACCAGCCTAGGGATGACACCACCTACTATGGGCTGGACCCTCCCCTATCAATCACTAAATAAGAAAATTCCCTAGAGCCTGAGCGAATGGAGGCATTCCCTTAACTGAGGTTCCCTCTTAGACAACTTGTGTCAAGTTGACATAAAACTAGCCAGCACACTTGCCAACATGTCACTCTGAAAAAAATAACTACAGAAAAGCTCAAATGCAGGATATGGCATAACACTCCAGGAACAGATTCTATCTAGATAGTGTAATTAGGATACATTTTCCTGCTGGGCAACAGTGGTACACACCCTTAAGCCCAGCACTCAGGAAGCAGAGGCAGGCAGATCTCTGTGTAAGCTAGCCTGGTCTACAAAGGGAATTCCAGGCCAGGTAGGGCTATTACACAGAAAAACCCTGTCTCAAAAACAAAAAAAAAAAGGGGGGGGCGGTCTGGAGAGATGGCTCAGAGGTTAAGAGCACTGGCTGCTCTTCCAGAGATCCTGAGTTCAATTCCCAGCAACCACATGGTGGCTCACAACCATCTGTAATGAAATCTTCTAGAATACTGAATACATAATAAATAAATAAAATCAAAGAAAAAATTTCTTTCCATTATAACTTTGGACTTTCCCTTTCATTTTGAAAGGGTCAGTATTCTATTTGTCCTGGTTAGTCAAAAGTCAACTTGCCACAAGCTAGAGTCACCTGGAAAGAAGAACCTCAAATGAGAAAATGCCTTCATCAGGCTGGCCTACAGGGCATTTTTCTTGATTGATGATTGATATGGGAGGGTACAGCCCACTGTGAGCAGTGCCACCCCTGGGCAAATGGCCCTGAATCCATAAGAAAATAGGCTGAGCAAGCCCAGTAAGCAGGGTGCCCCTATGATCTCTGCTTCAGTTCCTGCCTCTGACTTCCCCTCATGTAAGCTGAAAGAAACCCTTGCCTACTCAAGTTGTTTTGGTCATATGTTTTTCACGGCAACAGGAATCAAACTAAGATGTTAATGTTTAGTTTTGAGGGGGGGTGTTGTTTTGAGGCAAGGGCTTGGTATAGAGCCCAGGCTGGCTGCCAACTCATGTGGTCTATTTTCAGTTTTCTTTTTGGTTCTTTTTAAAATAACAGTTTGTTTATTTATCATGAGTGTGTGGGTGTTTGTAGGCAAGTGGGCACATTCCATGGCACACTTGTAGAGGCCAAAGAACAACTTTCAAATGTTGGTTCTCTCTTCCACCATGTAAGTCTTAGGGAGAGAACTCACGCCATCAGGCTTAGCAGTAAATACCTTCTATCCACTAAGGTGCGACCCTTTAATAGAGTTCCTCATGTTGTGCTGGCCCCCAAGCATAAAATTATCTCTGTGCTATTTCACAACTGTAATTGTGCTACTATTATGAATAGTTATGTAAATATCTGACATGTGAACCCCAAAGGGATCTCAACCCACGTGTTGTGAACCGTTGCTGAATAAGCCATCTCCATAGCATCACCATCACCTCCTGTTGCCCCAGCCCCAGCCCCTTCACCCTTACCCTTTTTTCCTAAGAGACAGGATCTCCTGTAATAGACTGCAAATATACTCTGTAGCTGAGATGATCTTACACATCTAATCCTCCTGCCTCCACCTCCCAAATGTTAGGATCCTATGATCCTGTGCCTGCACACTTAGCAGCTCAGCATTGCCCCCAGCCTGTGCCCCATTTCTATAACTATCATCTCTAAGAAAGCTGCTCAAGCCAGGTGGGTAGTGGAGAACACCTTTAATCCCAGCACTCGGGAGTCAGAGGCAGGAGGAAGGCTGTGAGTTGGAGGCCAGCCTGGTCTGCAAAGCGAGTTCCAGGACAGGCCCCAAAGCTACACAGAGAAACCCTGTCACCAAAAACAAAAATAAAATAAAGACAGAAAACAAATGTCTCTGAATAAAGAGCCGCTAACTATCATTCCCTCCAGCTCCTGGCAGCCAGGAAAGCTGGTAGTGACATACACACCCCACCTGTGCCTGTGGCGTTGACTCTCTGCACTGCCACCTGACTCCAGGCTCCCGGAGCCGCCCCGCAGTCCAGCACCCGGAGGCCGGGCCGCAGGATGTGATGCTTTTCATTTATCGCCATGAGTTTGAAGGCGCTGCGGCAGCGGTAACTCTCCACCTTTGCGGCCTTCACAAACGGGTCCTTTAGATGGCGCTTCAGCCACAGGTGCTCGGCGCCCGTCCGGCCTTTGCAGCCACACGCAGTCGTGTGGAATCGCTGAACCTTAAGGGGAACGCCTACCAGCTTCAGATACCTGGTGGCGAAAAAGGAGTTAGCAGGGGGACATTACAAAGAGGCAGGCGGGAGGTCTTGGTTGAACCTACTTTTATTTATTTATTTGCAAATGTTTGTGCGGTATGCACGCATATGTGTGTGCACATGTCTGCGTGTGTACGGGGACCCAAAGTTGACAAGGGATATCCTCCCAGTTTGCTCTTTACCTTATTGAGGTAAGGTCACGGCCTAGCTAGCCAGCTTGCTCCAGGAGCCCCTGTCTCTGCCCCCCTAGCACTGGCTTCACATCTGGTCAGCACACAAGCCCAGCATTCTATGTGTTCTGGGCATCCGAACTCCAGTCCTCAGGCTTGCACAGCTTTATCCGCTGAGCCATGTCCGCACGTAGAAAACCTCACTCACTCATGTCTGTACATGAATAAACATCGTGCATACGTATCCCGCATCCCGGGACAGAGGCTGCCAGCGACCCTCTGCGGCCGGAGACACTGAGCTACCAACTTTTGTCGTCCCCTCCACGCACTTAGGCAGCAGGCACACTTCTAGTGCAGGACGACGCAGTAACTCTACTCACCAAGCCATGGGTACTTGCTGGCGGTTTCCTCCCGCTGCCGGAAGTTCTGCCCTTGCTTCCAGCGCAAGGCCCCGCCCCAGGAAGCTGTGGCTGGGGCGCGAAGGTATGGATGATTCGCGGTGCGTGGGAGCGGAGCTCCGGAGGGACCCGGGAGGCCGGGGGTGTTAGGTGCCGGGGGAGATCTGGGGATGGGAGACGGCGGAAGAACTGGGGTGCTTCTTCAATCCAGCCCGGAAAAAACTGGGTGCTGGGTAGCATCGATAGAGACCAGGGAAACTACAGACCGCAGGGAGCAAACGTGAGAGGGAAGGGGGACCTGGAACCTGTTGCTTGGACAGTAAACTGGTGCAGGGGCAATTTGCAGAGTGCCCCTGCAGACCGGTCTGGGCCCTGCACTCCATCTGTGTTGCCTCCAACACCTACACTAGTTGGCCTCAATTCAGACCAGATAGTTGTCAACACCCCAACCCCTAGCATTTGAAAGCTCCCTGAGACGCATCCGATTTACCATGTCACAGCTACCTGAGCTGAGGGAACACTAAACTGACGTCCAGGACACGCTACTTACCTTATAGGCTCTGCCGTTTGACCCCGTTTCAAATTTAGACCCCGAGCATCAGTTTTCTCCTCAGAAAATGCAAGAGTAAGCCTTATATAGTTCTTAGTCGTACTAAATGAAGTTGCTTTTAAAACAAGGTTAATTGGAGCTGGGCTGATAGATGCCTGTGAAATGCTTGCTTCACATGCATGAGGAGTTTTCAAGCCCCAGAACCAACATAAATAGCCAATGTGGCTTGCACCTATAACCCCAGTGCTGGGAGGCAGAGACAGCTGGATCAGCTAGTCTTGCCGACTCCATGAGCTACAAGTTCCAATGAGAGACCCTGTCTCAAAAAACAAAACAAAAACAACCAGGCAATGATGGCACATGCCTTCAATCTCAACACTCCGGAGGCAGAGGCAGGTGGACCTCTGTGAGTTCAAGGCCAGCCTGGACTACAGAGTGAGTTCCAGGACAGGCTCCAAAGATACAGAGAATCATGTCTTGAAAAAACGAGAGAGACAGAGAAAGAGAGAGAGAGAACAAAACAAAAAAGTAGAAAGTAGATGGAGCTAGGGAGATAGCTCAGTGATTCAGAGTGCTTATTGCTCTTGCATAGGTCCTGAGTTTGAGTCCCAGCACCCATATAAGGTGGCTTGTAACTACCTGTAACTCCAGCTTCAGAGGCTCCAACATCCTCTTCTGGCCTTCATAGGCAGTTACATGCATTTATGAATGCAGAGAGAGTGAGAGTGAGAGAGAGAGAGAGAGAGAGAGAGAGAGAGAGAGAGAGAGAGAGATGCTCCAGGCAATGGATCTCTGTGAGTTTGAGCCAGCCTGGTCTACAGAGCAAGTTCCAGGACAACCTCCAAAGCAATACAGAAAAAGAGAGAGAGAGACGCATACATATATACATACATACATGCATACACACATACAAGTACAGTTGTTGAGGCAGGAAGATTGTGAGTTTAAGTCCAGACTGGACTACATGGCACTACTCTGTCTCATTTAAAATACTTGCAAAACAAATCACTCATCTACTGAACATGTGGACATCTGTCATTACTCACTACATGAAAACTATTTACACAGTATTTGTGTTATGTTTAAAGTGGGCTAAAGGATGTGTGTGTAAGTTATATATGCAAATATGCCATTTCTCTAGAAGCAGTTTCACCATGTTTCAATTCTGGTATTCATGGTAGGATGGGGGTATCCTGGTACCAGTCACCTGTGGATATGGAAAAACAACTGTATATAACTGGTGCATGTAAGAGATGGCTGACCTTGCTGTGTTAGAAATCCAGGACCTCAGGCATGAGCAAGTCTGTGTCAGGATGAGGACACAGGCCAATGTTAAGCCCACTTCCTTTGCTGACCACCCTCATCACCAGGGCCAAGCTTCACTTTTCTTTTTAAGTTGTTTTGTTTTGTTTTGTGAAGACAGAGTTTCTCTATGTAGCCCTGGCTATCCTGGAACTCACTCTAGACCAGGCTGGCTTCAAACTCAGAGATTCCCCTTGCCTCTGCATCCGAAGTGTTGGTATTAAAGGCATGTGCCACCACCGCCCAGCGTTTTGCTTTGTTGTTTTTTTTTTTTAACTTATATTGTATGAGTATAAATGTTTTGCTTGCATTTATATATGTGCACTACATTTGTTCCTGGTGCCCAAAAAGACCAGAAGAGAAGTTAGACCATTGTGAGCCACCATGTGGATGCTAAGAATGGAATCCCAGTGCTCTGGAAGAACAGCAAATAATTTTAACCAATGGCATTTCTCTAGCCCCATTCAGGTCCCTTGTACATTGTCACCTCTTAGGAGGGTCCCAGTTTCTGGATACTGCTTTACCCAATTGAGGTCAAGAAAAGAAAGAGCAATTAAGTTTGGCCTGGGGGAAGGGAGGGAAGATGGCTCAGTATGTATAGCACCAGCCTAGAATTCCCCAGTGAAGGGCTGGGGTGTGGCTCAGTGGTAGAGCACCTACCTGCCTAGAATTCCTCAGTGAGGGGCTGGGGTGTGGCTCAGTGTTAGAGCACTTGCCTAGCAAGCTCCGGGTTTTAAGATCCTTCCCTTGAACTGAAAAAAAAAAAAAAAAAATTGGGGAAGATCGATCGGGCTCAAAGGCACATTTCATCAGCCCTGGAAGCCACAGGGAAATTTATGCTGTGGCTGGGAAATTACTAGCCAGCCTCATTTTCCACCTCTCCCAGCATGAGTCTGCCTCACAGCTGGCCACGATTCACTACCACACACATTTGATGCACACTCTAATGGACCACAAGCTAAGCAGACCCTATTTTCTGACCCTCTTCACAGGACCCAGGAGACCATGGGCGCCTCCAGGCTCTACACGCTGGTGCTGGTGCTGCAGCCTCAGCGAGTTCTGCTGGGCATGAAGAAGAGGGGCTTTGGTGCTGGCCGCTGGAATGGCTTCGGGGGCAAAGTGCAGGAAGGAGAGACCATTGAGGACGGAGCTAAGAGGTGAGGAAAAGAGGTCTGACCACAGAGCCACCCTGGCCGGGGATGAAGACCTGGAGAGGGTGAAATACCCCTGAGACCCACAGATGCGCTGTAGACAAGGCTGGCTTTGAACTCACAGAGATCCACCTGCCTTTACCTCCACAGTGCTGGGATTAAAGATATATGCCCTTAAGAAAGATCCTGCCTCAAATTTAAAAAATAAAAAAAGCCGGGTGGTGGTGGCGCATGCCTTTAGTCCCAGGAGGCAGAGGCAGGCAGATCTCTGTGAGTTCGAGGCCAAACTGGTCTACGAGAGCTAGTTCCAGGACAGTCTCCAAAGCCACAGAGAAACCCTGTCTTGAATTTTAAAGGGTCTATATTTTCCAGCTGGCCTTTAATTATATAGCCCAGGTTGATCTCAAAGCCCAAATCTTCCTGCCTCAGCTTCCTAAGTGCTGGGATTATACGTGTGAAATACCATGTCTGAATTTATATAATTTAATTCCTAAATTAGATAGAGCAACACCTCTGCATGTTGTCCTCCTAGAATATGCAGCCACAGGTGCTGAGGCTACACTCCCATGGCCCTGGCCCTTGTAAGCATGGATGCCCGTAAGCTAACGCCACTTCTTCCTTACTCATCTCTGCTGCAGGGAGCTGCAGGAAGAGAGTGGCCTGACAGTAGATGCACTGCTCAAGGTGGGCCACATCTCATTTGAGTTTGTGGGTTCCGAGGAGCTGATGGATGTGCATGTCTTCTCTACTGACCATGTGCATGGGACGCCCACAGAGAGTGACGGTGAGCCTTGGGCCCTACTCCCTTCTTCCCACCATGGGCAGGGAGGTGCACCCAGCCTCACTTGCCTGCCTAGGAGAACGGAATCAGCCCTTGCCAAGTGTAGGCCCAAAGTCTGCCCACGTTCCTCCTCTTTGGTTGTCCTCAGAACCAAGGACAGACACGCATAGCAGTCTTGTAACCCAAATATGAGCCCTGTACCCTTTTTCTTTTTGAGACAGGTTTTCTCTGCGTAGTCCTGGCTGTCCTGGAATTGGCTCTGTAAACCAGGATGGCTTTGAACTCAGGCTTGCACCACCACTGCCTTGCAAGCCCATTTCTGTATTTCACAAAATATGGAAATCAGCCACACATATTGATACATGCTTTTTGTTGTTGTTTTTTTGTTTTTGTTTTTCCAGACAGGGCTTCTCTGTGTAACAGCCCTGGCTGTTCTGGAACTCACCCTGTAGACCAGGCTGGCCTCCAACTCATAGAAATCCACCTGCCTCTGCCTCCCGACTGCTGGGATCAAAGGTGTGTGCCACCACCGCTCAGCAAGGTACGTGTCTCTTTATTCCAACATAGAAGAGACAGGGGTATCTCTGTGAGTTCAAAGCCAACATGACTCACACTGTGAGACCCTGTCTCAGAAGAAGGAAGAAGGGAAAGAAGAAAGGAGGAGGAAGGAGGTGGAAGAAGAAATTATAATAAAGTAGCGAGAGTGTGGCTCAGTTGGCAGGATGCCTGACTAGCAAGCATAGGACCTAGGTTCTACCCCCAGCAGTGGCATGAACCAGGTGTGTCTGTACTCCCAACACAGGCAATTAGCTCTTAGTAAACAAGAAAGTAACCAGGCGTGGTGATGCAGGGCCATAATCATAGCATCTGGGGGGCAGAAGCAGGAAGACTAAATCTGAAGGCATATTGGGCTATAGAATGGGCTCTAGACTAGCTTGTGCTACATAACCCTATCAAAATCAAGAGATGGTCATGAGGATGAGATGAAAAATTAGATCAGACTCCTGTCTCAGATAAACCAGGTAGAGTTTACACTTTCCATAAATCCCAGCACCAAGGAAGCTGAGGCAGAATTACCATGAATTCAAAACAGACTAGGCTCCATACTGAATTCCAGGCCAGCCAGGGCTTCAAAGAAAGTCCCTGTATCAATTAAAATAAAACAAAGCAGGCATGGTGGTACTATACCCCTGTACACCAATCAGGAAGCTGAGGCAGGAGGATTACTACTTATTCCAGACCAGCATGGGCTACAGTGTCTCAAAAAAAACCAAAAAACACCACTCCAGGGGTTGGAGAGATGGCTCTGAAGTTAAGAGCACTTGCTACTTGCTGCTCTTGGGGAGGACCCACATACTTTCCCCAGTACCCATTACTCCAGTTCCAAGGGATCCCACACCCTCTTCTGGCCTCTGTAGACACTGCATACACTTGTAATACAGACGAAACACACCCATACATTAAAAAACCCCCCAAAAAATAAAAAAAAAAAAAAAAAAAAAAAAAAGTTTAAAGAGGCAAGAGGTTGGAAAGCTTGTTCATACTACTCTTCCAAAAAAAACCAACTTTGGTTCCCAGAACTCACACCAGGTGGCTCACAACTAAATCCCCCACTTTAGGGGGATCCAAAACCTCTGGCCTCTGTGGGTACTTGCAATCATATGCCTACACACTCATACAGACATATATGTATATATGCAATCAAAAAAAAACCTGTAAAAACTTTTTTCTTGACAAATAACAACCAAAAAGTCCAAACAGCTGGAGAGAGATCTCACTGGATAAAGAGCACTTACTGGTCTTCCAGAGGACCCAAGTTCAGTCTCCATCACCCACACTGGGCAGTGGATAACTTGCTGTAACTCCAGCTCTTCTCTGGCCTCCTCTGGCACACACACACACACATGTGGCATTCATTCACACATACTCAGATACATAGCAGATCTCTGCATTTAAGGTCAGCCAGGGCTGCATAGTGAGACCACATCTCAAATAAAACAAAATCTCCAAACAGGTGTTCACACAGATTCAGGGGGTAATCACTCTCAGGTTGGCTGAAGTCCATGCTCAACATCAATGTTCTTCCTCCTCCCCATGCCCCCACCCCACCCCAATCCAGAAATGCGCCCTCAGTGGTTCCAACTGGACCAGATTCCCTTTGCAGACATGTGGCCTGATGACAGCTACTGGTTCCCACTCCTGCTTCAGAAGAAGTAGTTCTGTGGGTACTTCAAGTTCCAGGATCAGGACACCATCCTTGACTACTCGCTTCGTGAGGTGAATGAACTCTAATACAGAGGTCTGGTGGGTTCCAGCCACACTCAGGTTGCTACACAGCCACAAGGTGTCAGTCCAAGCCTACCACAGGAAAGGCTGATATTTTCTGTTGCAGAGTGTTGGGGTTGGAAATGTGAAATGTCACTGATACGATACTATGCTTGATTACTTCATCTCCTGTTTTGGAAGGTTGTAGCCCCTTAGGAACAATGAGGGAACTGAGTCAGTCACTGGGAGTCAGAGAGATGTGGGATGGGCCCTAAGGTTTTATAATTAGGTCCCACTTTCTGTCTGCTCTCTGCTTCCTCATGATGTGGCCAGCCGTGTCAGTCTTACCACTGTGCCTTATCTACCATGATGGACTGTATCCCCTCGATTGATCCATGAGCCAGAATAAACCTTTGCTCCCCTAAGTTGCTATGTGATCAAGAAAAGTGAGTGGCACAAGTGACTGGATAGGAAAGAAAGACAGGCACCAATCCTTCATCTTGTCACACTATTTCAAACAGGGTGGATGGACACCAAAGGATGAGGTGAGCACATTTTTTTTTAAGATTTATTTATTTATTATTTACAGTGTTCTGCCTGCATGTATGCCTGCAGGCCAGAGGCCAGAAGAGGGCACCAGATCTCATTACAGATGGTTGTGAGCCACCATGTGGTTGCTGGGATTGAACTCAGGGCCTTTGGAAGAACAGTCGGTGCTTTTAACCTCTGAGCCATCTCACCAGCCCCCAAGAGGACATTTTTTTTTTTTTTTTTAAATGCAGGAGTGACAATCTGAATGGAAAAGTAGCAGCTCTGAAATGCTTGGTTTGGGCAGGATGCCAGGTAAGAGCAGGCATCCAAAGAAAAACCTTCGAAAGCAGGGTGCCATAAGAGAAGCTAGAGCAGTGAGTCTTGGGAGGCAGAGGGGAGCGGTATCTCAGAGAGAGACAAGCATTCCTCTCCAGGCAGATGGACTGCCAATCAGCACCTGGACTCCAACTAGAGGCTGAACTTACTGAAAGGCTGTGTCCAGGGGTTTATATAGACCCAAGTGAAGCCTGATAGGCTGAGGCTGTAGGCAAACCAGATAAAGATAACTAATCAGAGGAGAGTTTGCAAAACCCGATATTAACTACAGTGGGGTTCCCAACCAGGTCACTGGCTGCATTTCCCCTGTTGTGATTGTTGTAGTGAAACAGACACTCCCCTAATGGGGGAGCATCCAGGACTTCCTGGGCTACACCTTAAACCAGGAACCTCACGGATGCCAGTGGTTATCAGTGGATCTTTGAAAGCATGCTGTGGCATTTCATGTTGCATCCTACCCCTAACTGCTTCACAGAAAACTGGTTCTCCATCAGGAAGAGGGACCCTTTTAAGGAAATCCAACAGGAGGGCTGGAACCAGGTCTCAGCAATACTGATCTTGCAGAGGATCAGAGTTCAGGTCCCAGCACCCACAATGGACAGCTGCTCATAACCACCTGTAACTCTACCTTCAGAGCCCCCTTCTGGCCTCTGTAGGCACCAGCACCCACAAGCACATTCCCCCTTATTTATACACATAATTTACAATGAGATAAATATACACACATATTGTATAATACTCAAAAGCCAAGTACATTGTTAGCTCAAACTCCCTAAACCTAAAGGGGCTGAGATATAAGTGCTGAGAGAAGGGCATAATTGCAGCCCCTTCTCTTGGATTCGTTTTTTAATTAAGTGCATGGGGTGGGGATAATGTGCATGTGAGTACAGGTACCGTTGAAGTCAGAGATGGTGATTCCACTGGAGCTCAAGTTATAGGACATTGTGAACTCTTGATGTGGGAACTGGGAACTGAACTCAGGTCCTCTGGAAGAACAGCAAGTGCTCTTAACTGCTGAGCCCCTGTGTCAGTTTTAACTGTCAATTTAGAATCACCTGGGAAAAGCATCTCAGTGAGGGACTGTCTAGATTAGGTGGGCCTATGGACATGTCTTGGGGGATCATCTTGATTATGTTAACTCAAGTAGGAAGATCTGCCTACTATGAGTGGCAGGATTCCCTGAACAATATGAGGGTGGAGAAAGCCAGCTAAGAACTGGCATGCAGGCTTTGATCTATTTTCTGCTTAACTCTGGATGCAATGTGCTCAACTCTTAAACTTTGACCCTCTTCCCCCCACTTCCCCAAAGTGGCAGACTGTATGAACTAAAATAATTCCTCCCCCCACCCATTGCTACTTTTGTTGGGGAATTTTATCACAGCAACAGAAAACATACTCAGCTGATGTGGCACCAAAGAAATGACTCTTCAGAGTCTGACCTTGTGAGCCAATGGGCTCACCATGGTGACTTCCAGGAGTGTGAGCAGAAGAGCCGGCCACACCATGGGCCAGGACTGCGAGCCACAGCCCTAGAGTGCTATAGCTATGCAGTGGGGCTCAATGGGGCAGCATCTTCTCCCCTTAGCAACTGTCACTGTGGGCACCACTACAAGGAGGGACCTTGTGAACCATGTGCTTTTCAGATTTCTGAAACCTGTAAACTGGGCAGATTTTCTGAGTCTGAGGAGGCTCCCTCCAGGAGGAAGCAATGCTTCTATATCCAGGAAACTGCCATATGACACTCCCCCACTGGAACCACCAGGCTAGGGGCAACTGCCCATCCCAAAACTTAAGACTCCAGTTTCAAGACACATTTGGCTGTGTTCATGGGGATTTGTGGAGAGAAATGGCAGCATGGAAACCATCTGTAAACACTTCCAGTTTATTGGGTGTGGCAGTAACTGATTCCCGCAGTCCATAAAGTGCTTCATTCATCCAGCCCAATCCCACAGGACCAGCTTCCTGACCCCTCAGCCCAGAGTCCCCACAGCAATGTTCCAGAGCCCTGCTACCCCACCTAGCTCTTCAGCTGGGCAGACTAGCACTCAAGAGACTATTCCCTTCTCTCCCTCTGTTCTGGCCCTGGACTGTCCAGTTAAGGCTGAAGCTGGCTCCTGCTCAGCCAGTAAAAGGGACAAGCAGGTGGGAGATCTGTCAATACTTGTGCTTCCCATCTTTCTGGCAGCCCCAAACATGGTGGTATGGCATATAGGCTTGGGCAGCAGGATGCCAGAAGGGTACAGGGACTCTTGGCTCCTTTTCACCCTAGGGATGGAACCTCAAGATTGGAGTCAGGCACCCACAGCCCAGGCAAGGAGTGACTATGTGAGAAAAGACAGGCTCTACTTCTGGGCTCGGGGGCCTTAGAGCACTAAAAAGCACTGGGGTAGGAGAGTGGGCTGGGTGGGAGAGCGGGCAGAAAGGAAACTGTTCACATCCAGGTGGAACTTGCTGCCTGACAGCCTGGTGGGAAGTGGCCCACACTCTTGACCCTGAGGCCTGAGCACCCAACAGGGATGCCCATCTCCAGTGCTCCTCCACAAACCCCTCCTCATTCCCACCCTCCAAAACCCAACACAAGAAAGGACCCTGAGCCCTCACCCACTGTGGACCCTGAAGGGCCTTGGACCAGGACTCCACAGCCAGCACTGGAGTGAAACATGTCCTCCAAAGCACCAAACCACTGTGCACTCCTACTTCCTGCCTGGCCTAATAAACCTCTCAGAATGTCTGCAGGCCCTAGTCTGTAGTCACAGTCCCACCCTCAGAGACTGGCTAGCTCCTTCCCAGACAGTACAGCCAAGAACCAGGGCAGGCTAGCCCTCCCACTTCTTTGCTGCTAGGTTAACCGTTAGGCTCTTCCAGCACTCAGTGATCCTTCCACACTCCCCCAGACACCACTTGCTGACTACAAAAGGCCCTAAGCATTGTGGGCATTGGATACAATCCATTCCAAAGCACCCTAATTTCCCACTGCCGACCTGATCAACAGGCCATGGGGCAGACTGGGAGCACATTGACCTCCTGCCCAGGAGCAGAGAGACACAGAAACCACCAGCACAGCCCACAGGCAGCTTAGGGCAATGGCTGCTGCCTGGAGGGAATCAGCCAGGGACACACTGTTTGCAAAGAGGTTTTAGTGAGGCCACAGGGAGCTCTGTCGTGGGTCTTGCCACTAGTGGGGACACACGCCATCCTCCTGCGGGGATCGCGGTGGCGTCAACACGCTGTGAGGTCCAGCAAAGAGACAGCTCAGCTTCGGCTTCAGGTCATTCCATACCTTGCTCATCTGCAAGAGAGGAAGAAAGGGAGGTGAGGTGATTGTGAGTGGCCACAATCTGGTCCATGTCAAGCCAATTCCCATTGTCATCTGGTGACTGAATAGGAGGGCATTCCCATCACATTCCCTCACATGCCAGGCTCTACAACCAGAGCTTCTGAAAGTGAAGACAAATCACCCTTATTCTCTCAATGTTGACCCATCCTCCAGAGTCACAGATGGGGGGATTGCAAGTTCCAGGCTAGCCTGGGTTACATAGTGAGACCTAAAAATCAAAAACAGGGCTGGGATATAGCTCAGGGTTTTAGTGCTTATCAAGTATGCATGAGACTCCAAGTTTGATCCTCAGCACCCCATACAAAAAAATTTAAAGAAATCTAGTAACTGCCATACAAGACAGGATGATATCGGCTCCTGCCTCCATCTCCCAATCACTGGGATTACAGATGTGCACCATTGTAGCTGGCATACACAGTACTGGGGATGGAACCCTGGGCTTTGTGTGTACTAGGCAAGCTCTCTACCCACTGTGCAGGTCAACTGGCCTGGATGCTGTGAAAGATACTGGACGGGCCAAGTACCAGGAACTTTAGTCAACCAGAACTTCTGCTCAAACCACCAAGATTTCACACTCAACGTGGACAGTCCAGCCACTATGTATCCCCAAAACCCCTGGCATACCCTGATGGCAGGGGCCAGCTGGAAGGAACACAGCCTCTGCCCATCAACCATCACTGATTGGCAGCAGTGATGGCTCTATCGGTCTGTAACCATGATACCCCCAGGCCAACATTTGGGAACTAGTGAGGTTGTACCCTCATGCCATTTTCAGATGTTGGACCCACCAGGTCAAAAGAGTATCTGCCTGGCATGCATAAAGCCCTGGGTTTGCACCTCCAGCACCACATAAGCCAGGTGTGTGACATGTAGGAGATAGAGGCAGAATATCAAAAATTCAAGGTCAGGCCTTCAAAATGGCTTGGCAGGTAAAGATGACTACTGCCAAACTGATGACCTAAACTCAGTCCCTGTAACCAACAGAGCAGAAAACCAAATGCCTTCTTAGAGGGAGATGAGGTTGCCATAGCCAACAAGAGGCAACCAAGTCACTTGGAAAACCAAGGAAGTCCAGTGTGGGAAGATAGGTGTGTGTGCGAGGGGGCTACTTGGGACTAGAAAAGCAGATGTGATCAAACTGGTCCTCCAAATCTTAATCAGAGTAACCCCATCAAGCAGCAAACCACCATTTAACCACATGCCAGGCTGAAACCAAACAGG